GATGGGACAAAATTCATAATTACAAACAAAATACAGGGCAAAAAAGCCCTGATTATAAAGAGGGACTAAACTCTTTAATGGCAACTTCAAAGCAGTGTTTCATTCTCTTATGGAACACTGCCATCAATCGCCATGCCTTGCTAATCGTCATGTAAAACTGTGTTCAATGGTAGACTATGAAAGCATCTAAATTTCTTTGCCGGAGGGGTTTCAGAATCATTCTGTCTGTGATTTCCCTTTCAACCAAAAGAACATTAATATGGTCAATGATTCTTATTAAGGACTACAAAGATTGTTTCCACAACAGGAAGGACAGTTGGATATCCCTACTAAATTCAATATTTCTACATTTGATAATAACTAGCCCCTCTTGAATTCACTTAACCCCACTTTACCAATGCCTCCTGTTTTTCCTTCTACATTCCTGCTTAAACTATTTCCAGGCTCTCCTTCTGCTAGTTCCTTAATATTTATTAGTATTCTCTAGTATTTGCACCTGTTTCCTTCTCCCCCTTATATTCTCACTAGATGCTACCATTCCATACACCTATTTCCACTTTCATCTCCTAAATGATCTCTAGCTCCCCACTTGTAGCCCTAAGCTCTAAAATCACATTCCTCCGAAGCTACCAGACATCTCACCTAAAAGCCAGGCGGCATTCGATACATAGCTCAAGGTAACGTGTCCAAAACCATATCCAACTTCCCGTCCAAACTTGCTTTTTCTAAGAGCCCACATTTCTACATCCAACTGTAAAAGTGAACTTCTTGTCATTGTAGACTCCTTCCATAAAGTAAGGAGTTTCATGTTATAGTTTCTACTTGCTCTTCCAGCTTCGTCTCCTCCCTCACCCCTCTAAGAAATTTAATTCTCATTCTGTGTACACACCATGCACTTTTCCTGTACTTCTGCTAAGTCCTCTTCTTTAGCATTCTAAACTACAAATTCCTACAATCTCCTCTTGGAACCTGAAAATGTATTCAATTACTGTGTTTATCGATGATAGCGATCAAAGTAACTTTGCTTTCGTCCTGAAGACAAATCCTTGCATTACTGCTCATAAGCTATTAGAGTAAGACTATGAACAATTATTGGGTTGTCGGGACAGTCATGACATTATTTTTTGTTTTTCGTTGCAAAAATGCATCATGACTTTTCCAACAACCTACATACAATGCAGTTTGTAAATACAATGCAGTTTGCAAAGTACCAGGATGAAATGACCACAGGGTGCTATGACAACAGAGAAAGCATACACAACCATTATGTGTGTCACCTCTATCTGTTTTGCTTGGACTGAGTGAGCCTTGTAGATAAGTAGGAATTTGTCAGGTGGACAAGATCAGTTAGAGCAGCGGTTCTCAACCTGTGGGTCGCAACTCCTTTGGGGGTTGAAGGACCCTTTCACAGGGATCGCCTAAGACCATCAGAAAACAAAAAGGTATTTACATTACGATTAATAACAGTAGCAAAATTACAGTTATAGAGTAGCAACGAAAATAACTTTATGGTTGGGGGTCACCACCACATGAGGAACTGTATAAAGGGGTCGCAGCATTAGGAAGGTTGAGAACCACTGGGTTAGAGGAAGGCGTTAGGTATCAGGGTACACTCTGGTAACAGCTAGTACGGTGCAGCACACAAGGGGAATGTGGGGGTGGGAGAAGGCTGGAGGAGGGATTACATAATGAAGACCTAGAAAAGGGAAAGATATCTAGCAGCCTTGGGAGGAACAGTACAGAGGCCAGGAGACAATTAGGGGGCCACTCATTATGCCTCACAACAAATGATGGCCGAAAAAGCAGCGACAGTGAGATGGGACAGCAGGGTCACACTTGTTCCAAATATAGTTAAGCACAATTAATCTCATAACAAACCCAAGAGGTAGCGTTCCTAAGAAACTCAAGCGCGTGAGGACATTACTTGCTCAAGATGACATGGCTTACAAATAGGAGCAGAGATTCAAACTTCAAAGATCCTGCTCCTAAGGAGCATCGTGTGCCAATATCTCAAACACATGTCCAAATAGAAATCAACAAATCATGTTTTCACAACTAATTCTGGCCTGTTCAACTTACCAGAATTGCTAAATAAACGTCTTCTCATAGAGAAGTATATAGCAAGTGGAGAAGGATAAATACTTTAGCAGGTTTAGGGTTACAAATCATAAGATTTTAATACTATTCCAAGCTGTATACAGTTTTAGTTGCATATCCAAATTCTAAAGTTACAGGTATAATTTACACATTCTACGATTAATAATTTTGCATGGGCCACAGTTTAAATGTAAATGTATTAGCCTGTAAAATCTCTACCCTGATCACTTATTATTTTTGCTGGGCATATAAAAAGAGTATTGATCTAAAAATAAAACAATCTGCTGTAAAAATATGCTTCCTTATCAATATTCTTCCTTAAGCTATAGAGTTTAATTGGGGAATAAAATATTCAATATCTTAGAAATCATTTACCTAAACAAACATGCTATATGTATAACACATACATAATGTGTTTGGAAAACTCTGTAAAATGCAGAGTAACACCTCTCCTAATGAGGTATTAAGCGAAGTGAACACAAACATTCGTCCAGTTTCCCTTTAGCATTCAGTGAACTGATTTCTTATTCTAAGTTACTTTTCTTAAAAAGAAAATTATCTAAGGTTAGAAATGACCAATTCCAGAAGTGATATACATCTACGCAAAACTCAATGTACCAAACTGGCACATTATGGGTCAGCCCTAAATTTATTTTACAAAGTTTACAAAGGAGAGGGTTTAAGTTGACTAATTTACTCAACTCCAATGCTTTATTCTTATTACAATATTAAATTTATTTTATACATTAAGAAATGTAAATGCTAAAATATATATACTACATCGTCAAGCCTTGAGACAAAGATGGCATCTATTTCAAGTCACGTCAGCTGCAATGGATTAAGCGGCTACCTCAAACACACATGAGACTGGGGGACGATTTGGGCACATGGATCATAAATGCCTGCGGTGGGCACAGGCGTGGTAGCCTGTGTGTTACTCTTGCGCTCTTCTTTATGCTGGCAAAGAAGACTGAAATACTTTGGTTTCTATAATGGACAGGGCATTTCATTGTTGTTTGAGATCAGATAATGCACCCTGATTTGAAACATAAAAAAATATGCAAAATCAAGGGAAAAGTTTTGTGAGGTATTTTTTCTCATGTCTGATAAAACAAACAAAAAACCTAGTAATACTTTTCTAGAAAACACTATATAACGGATGCAGTTAAAATAACTAGGGTTACATTTTTCCAATGTTCTTCTGCTTCATCTGGAAAATTCATTGTGTGTGTGAGTGTGTGTGTAGTTTTAGGAGAAAACATCAGCATTTCAGCTTGTTAATTTAAATAATGTCAACTATGCATGTTTATTTGTAAAACTTCCCATAGTGAAATGTTACAGTTACCTATAAACATTCATTTTTCACTATTTACAATTTGAATAATTATGGAATGTTTGTATAATGCAACCAACTGGGTTATAGAAAAGTCACATAAACAATATAAATCTGATGCCCAATCCTTTACAAATATGTCATTACTTTCACTGGGTTTTCAAATTGTCAAGTATAAATGAGGTCAGCAGTACTTCAGATGAGGCACTTTAACAATTACTCAAAAAGATTAAGTGTACAAAGTGTAAAACAAAACCACTTGATATTAATCTTATCCTTAATTTCAGACGTGATTAATCTGAGATGGTCTACATTAAGGAGTGTTATAAACTTTTATTTCTTGCCCTCTGCCTTCACTTGACCCAAGGCAACATAAAAATGAAATACATAGGATATATAGATATCATCACAGACCAGTTAATGTACTTACATACAAAAGAACTAAACATTATCTAATGACACTGGGGTTTCAGAAAGTGACTATTGTAACACAAAAACTTCTACATAATTTTTTTCATAAACCTGTATAAATACATTGGTCTCCCAAAGGCAAAATGGTTTCTTGACCATATTCCTAGACAAAAATGCCCTCAAATGTACTATTTAATTAACTGAATCAAAATTAAGTCTTACACATTCTTTTCAAACACTTAATTTTTAAAATACTTAGAGAAATTAAAATATTAAATTCTAAAAATAGAGAAATTAAAAAATTGCCAATACTTTATACTGTAGATTAGTTTTAAGATTAAAAAAATAAGGAACAGATGTTTTAGTTTGCCAGCCTTGTGAAAGACCTTTTAAACACCTACATTTGGCCAATTCATTTTCAACCTTAAATCAAGTTCTCTGAATATTTACACTGCATCTTTTGATAGTTAAAATAATACTTGATTAAAAGATATTAATTCCTGTGGCTTCATGACTTATTAGTTCTATATTTTTCCCTACTGTTGGATTTCAACATACCTCTATTAGTAAAGACAATGGCTAACTCAAATTTTTAAAGTTTATCCAGAAGGGATTAAAATTTGTGGTCCCATTGACAGTTTTAGGTGAGAAGTTACATTTCATTAAACTTGTTTTATTTCAGGTAGTTTATTTATTTACTTATTTATTTATTTTTTAAGCTGAGCCATCCTGCCACCTGTTGGCAGCTCAGTGGCTGCTCAGCTCAGGCCAGGACTCGAACCGCTGTTGCTCAGAGCTCAAACTCTTGAGCAAGCTCTTAACCAACTGAGCCACACGACTGGCGCTCTGGTAGTTTATAATTTGAGTCATTTCTATAGCCCAGGTACCCAAATGTTGTTTTAAAAACATATGAGTTAGTGCTCATTAGAACATGGTTAGCTGTTCCAAGTCTATCTATGAAAATCACTTGTTCTGTGTGTTTGTATCTACACGAGGGCACATGTACTCCTTAATTCCCTAAAACAGTTTTGCTCCTCAAGAGAGAACAAACTGGGTTTCACTCAATATGCTACCAGACACTTAAATCTCTTCTAAAATCAGAAGTTGGCCAATTTTCAAATAAATGGAAAGGGAAAATACTTATTTAGAATGACAAAAATTAAGCTTGGCAAAAGTAGTGACTTTTATTTACAATTGCATGTATCAAGATTACAATAGAAACACTAGTGATATCATCTGAACAAAAGCAATGATTTATTGGTAATGGCAATGAATGGAATATTGAGTCTCTGGCGAGAATCAAGCAATTATCCAGGAGCTGTAGATCTGACTGCAATATGATCTTCCAGTGTCTTCTGTACCTTAGTGGCTTTCTCCTTTCTTGCCAACTACCTAGAAAAACAAAAATAACTTTATATGTACATCCTATTGATTAGAAATATGGGCTCTTTTCAAAATAATGTTACTAATTGGTAATCATCTTTAAAACATTAATTTTTATCCCTGTTTTTTTTTTTTTTTGTCATGCAGTATATTTTCATTGTTGAATCAAATTGTGACCCTCCCCCCTTCAGCCTCAAGGAATTAAAAAGAAAACACATGCAGGGTATTTTTGATTCCCACACTGTTTTAAGAAAAAGTAATACAATTTTTCAAAACGAGGTTCACAGTTTAGAGAAGTTAATAAAAAGATGATGCTAAATGAATGAAACATATTTGGCATATTATTTTTAAGCAATTAGAAATCAAATGTCAATCACGAATAATCTAGAATTAAGAATATGTTAAACTTATGTCTTCATGTCCAAGATGACAGGTTTCTAGACTTTTCTCTCAACATATAGATATGGAATGAAAACAACTAATTTTGCCTAATTTCTATTTAAAAAAAACGCTGGTTGCTACAAATGTATTACAAAAAATGTAAAGAATAAATCTTATTTCTGTCAATGATTAGAAAACTTCTCCATTAGAGGGTTTTTTAAATGTGGCAACTCTAAATGCTGTAAATGCTGTTTATGCTGTAAATGTGGCAACATAAAAATGTAAAAAATAAACATGGTTTCTACCAACAGTTCTAGAAAACAAATCCTCTCCAAGAGGGTTCAAAACTATGTTCTAATTGAATAATTTAATTCAAACCTAAAGTTTAGCATTAAATAATGCATTCTCATTTCTCTAAAGAAATTCACCTGCAAGCTACTGAATATATATTTGTATACAGAAATATTTCTATGTACATTTGTGAATGTAAATTTCATATTTTAAATTGATTCAATTCCAAATGGTAATGTCTGACTCAAGCAAAACTCACTCAAGTCTTCAGTGCATTTCTAGGCTAAAATAAAACATGGCTGGGTCAAAGTCCTTCATGAAAGAAGATTATAAAACCCTCTGCACTGAATTCCCAATCACATGGTGCTAGAATTGCTGTTTCCGCCCCCCTCAAGTAAAACCACTTCTATTACTTGAAAAAAACTCCTCTCTGATCCAAGGAAACCATGTGTTAGAAAGCCCTAAAACCCAGAAAGATGCTAAAGAGACAGTCTCAGAAAGAGTATGTGGATGAGAGTAAGAAACTCAGGTTTACGAGCCAAGGGAGCCTTCTTAAAGAAGAAGGGGAGAAGGAACTATATGTATCACAAATGAACTTAAGCAGGTAAACGCTGAAAGCATTGCTGATCATTGTATCACTTGGGAACACACCAAAACACAGAGCTATTAGACTAAGCAAAAGAAAACATAACCAACTAATATTAAAAATTAAAATTTTAGCAGAAGTATACAGAAGACACGAATCTGCATACTGTTTCACAGGTTGATAGCTCTCAACTTGCCAGTATGTATCCTCTGTAAAAAAGAAGAAATTTAGCATTCCAATATGGATTTTCTCACCCCAAACATAAAGCTCTTTTATTCATTTTGAAGTCTTTATATTAATACCTCAGACAAACAAAAATTTAAGTACAGCAAAATTAGGTGACAAAAATGTTTATTCATTAGAGTCAGTCCATCGTACTTCTATCTTAATATTTTAAATCAGCCTAACATTCAGTCCATAAGTCTTTCAACTGGCCTTGAGCTCACTTGGGTAGGCAAAGCGGAGGACATGCCCACAATACATCAGCCAAGACTTCTGGACTCCAGTTCCGATGAGAAAAGATACCCACATCTTTCAACTACAACCTAATCGATATATTGCACTAGTACTAGTATGGAAGAACTTGATGAAACTGTTCATATTTGATTTCCAAAATAATTCTGGAGTTCCTAAAAAATAAAATCTAAACTTCAGATTGAATTAAAACATTATCCAACAACTAGCTCAATCTGAAACCATTTACAACAATGTAAATTTTATTGCAATAGTATTTCTCAAAATGTAGTACAATATTAAATATGAGACAGAAGTAAAAAAAAAAGAAAAAAGTCGGGGAGCAATACAGTATGGTAATGAAATTAAGGCACCTAGTTGCAAGCCCAAAACAAAAACCAGAACAAAATAAAAAGCCAATGGAGAAACATGACTAGAATGAGATGGGAAGAAAGAGACGGTTGAGGAAACCTAGGTAATAGTAAGTCTGGTCCAGACGACAGAAGCTGTAGAGATCTTGCACCAACAGTGATGAGAACATGGGAAGGGTGAGAGTGGACAGGTGCAAGACGGGCAGAGAAGCAAGGAGGGGAGCAGAGTGAGACAAGGTCTTTATATTACTTCATTTTTAAAAATCTTCTGGTTTTAGTTCATTTGAGTTGGATTTAAAAAGCTGAAAAATAAACAGACAGAAATGTTACAAAAATAGCTGATACGGTGAATGGCCAGTTTAGAAGTCTGTTTTTATTACTGTGATATAAAATCTGCTCTGCTTCTCACATGCACCTCATTCCCTAAAAAGCAGAAGCCCCTACAATTTTGCTCAATTTTGTACACTTATATTTTATTATTTTTGTATTAAAATAAAGCAATCAATGTAATGAGCATATTTTAGTAAAGAAAACATCAACTTCCAATTAAGATGGCAAGCTTTTCATGCCGCAACACAAAGAATCCAACAGCCTAAGTGTATATTATCATCTGTGCACAATGCCTGTTAAGAGCCCAAAACACACAAATAGGTGTGTTCTAATCCACCAAATCTTAAAAGTATAACTTCATAAAGTTGTAATAGCACGCAAGGTGGTCTAAGATTTCTATCCACATCCAAGATTCATTAGTGTTACCTTAGCTTGTCATCTTAGTGACATAAGGAGAAGGTCAATGACATTCTGAAAACTAAAATTATCCACGAACAACTCACACAATATAAAAATGTAAACTGAATGCTAAATAATTCTATTTTATGATTCATTATGCCATTTTATATAACTCTCTTTACGACACAAAGAGGTATCAAAACTTTCCTCTGTGCCAATAAAATACATGCCAAATCTATTTTGAAATTTTAGATCCTAATTCCTACGTGTAATCCCTGTAAAATTCAGACTAAGTAAAAGGAAAAAGGTACCATACTCGACTTGTCCTTGAACGAGTCCTACACCTTCCCATTTTCATGCTCAAATTCCTGCTCTCCATTCTACCTACAGTGACCACTGCTATCTTTCCCTGTCTATTTCTTCTCCCCAAGTTCAGTTCAAGGCCCTTTTCCTCCATAAAATAGTAGTCTCATTCTTTCCCAACCCACTGATGGGAAAAAGGAAGTATCACTGGGCTGGGAAAGTCTGGGAATACTCTGTGGAGGAAGAGTTCGTTGAACTAAGCTTTGATTAATTTTGATTCACTTTCCAAATGTTTGTGCATTATCCTTCAAGAATATAAACTTGCTATAGACAGGGGTCATGAATGTACCTGGCATAGTACCACAAGGACAACAATGCCACACCTTATCTGTCAGCTCCTTCACTAGAAAGCAAACTCTTCATTTTTAATAAGCAACTCCATCTATACAATACCAAACCAGCCAATTTCAGTTATAAACTAATTTTATTGCAATTTTCCTACACTGAATTTGTTGACTTAACATAAAAAAACCCAAAACTGAAATTGGCTTACTTTGGAGGAATAACCCTGCAGGACAATGAATGACACAAGCAGAACAAGTCTCATTCAGAAATTATTAAAAAGCAATATAATGAAATATCAGAAGTTATTAAAAAGAAATATAGTGAAATATTTACATTAAGAAAACCATTCAACCAATTAAAATGTATCAAACATTAAAAGCAAGAGATTAAGAAGTCCAGAACTCCAAGAAGCAAGGCCATCACAGTATTAAATTATTCTTGCAGCAGTTCTCAGTGTGGTCCAGGCTGGAGGTCCCGGAGACCGTTCCAGAGTGTCTTCAAGCTCAAAACTATTTTCATAATAAAGCTCAATTGTTATTTGCCTTTTTAACTCTCAGTGTCTCACAAGTGTACAATTGAGTTTGAGAGGCTACATACCTGTGGTAGCAAAACTGATTGAATGCAGAAGCAGATAGGAGAACAAGAGGGTTCTATTAAGCTGTATAGTAAAGAATTTGTAAAAGTATAAAACAATGCTCCTGCTCTCACTAAGATGGTTTTGTTTTGGAAAATACTTTAATTTAAAAATATTATTTGGTTAGTGTATAATGAGTTTGTTATTTGTAAATAAGTATTTTTTTTTAAAGGTTTTTATTGGGGAATTGGGGGATGGGAACAGCGCTGGGGAATTGGGGGAAGGGGAACAGACAAATTGCTGTCGTTTTGTTCTTCAGTCTAGTTGTGGAGGATGTTGCTTCACTGACCCAAGTTGGCACCATCATTGCGCTCTTCCCGGGTGAGGCAGATCAGTTGCCGGCTTCTGGATCAGCAGATCAGCTCACACTGGCTGCTGGCTACACAGTAGCCCATGGCAACCCACTGTAGCAGTGAGTCACCGATGACTTACGGCAGCCCAGCTCCAAATTGAGCTGTTGTTCAGCATCGTAGCTGTAGAGGGCAGTGTCACTGGCCCTCATATGTGGGATCCGAACTGGGGCCCTCTGGCGTCCCAAACCAGCTCTTAACCAACACGCCGCTCGGCCGGCCCATAAATAAGTATTTTTTATATTTTTCATAAGCATAGCGCACAGAAACAAGAGCTCTTTATGGTCATCAATAATATTGAATAGTGTAAAGGGATCCTGAGACCAAAAAGTTTGAGAACTACTGTTCTACAGTAATTTTAAATAAAGTATTTAAATGAACACATAGCCAAATTATAAAGCAAATGCAAATACTCTCAAGCAAGAACAGTCTAACATCCTACCTACAGTCCAAAACGGGTAAGATTGGTAGTCAAAAAAGGGAAAAACTAGTCTAGAAAAGGTGGAACAGGGGATGTTAAAAACAAAGAGATACAGACAGATTTTTAGATGGACAATTATCAATGCACATTTGAGAAACTATAACTACATGGCAGGCTGGTAAGAAGATAGACAAGATAAAGTGGTAGCTACTTAGAGAAAATGGAAGTCCAACAGCATAAGCCAAGATGAGAAGCAAGAAACTAGAGCTGAATTAATGGTATGAGAAAATAATAGGACTTATGAATAGTAATATATCTTATGAAAGTATCCAGCTAAAAACAAACTATGCAAGGCAAAGTTAAAGCTAAATGCAACGGCATTTAATTCAAACGGGCAAAGTAACAAAGCAGGCAGCCAAAATGTCTTTGTTGCTCACACATTTTCCCAGTACAGCATATTTCACATCATACAAATGTAGATGTTTAATCTCTGCTTCTTCTGACCTGTCATTATACATATGTCAAACATTTAACATGACAGATCTAAGTACGTGATTGTTCCTACAGCTCCCAAAAGTTAATTATGCTGTGAGACAGGAGGATGATAGTTGAAAAATGACTAGTTAAAATATCTACTGTCGAGGTTATCAATTTTTTAAAAAACAGCATATAAGTTCATCCGCTGTTATGAAAATTTATGAGTTTCTCTGTAATTGAATTAAAATTAGATCTGTGGATACCATCAAAAGAACAGAAGCTCTCAGGATATTGGCAGCTCCATCTCCCCATACAGGGGTCAGGCTGGGTGCCTCATCCTCCAGGCACTGGCACCCGTCGGGAAACTCTTCTGCTCTCATAATCATCTCAAGTTCTAGACTGCCTGCCAGAGGCAGCCATGAGGAACATGGTGATAACTGCATCTCCTGTGCTGCTGCGTATTTAATCTGTGTAGGTACAGCACCCAGGTTCTGTACTGATAAAACTCTTGGTGGCCATTCTATGATCTGTGGTTGTATATTTTAAGTGTCACCCTAAGGAACTGTTAGCAATTAGAAGTAATTCCATGAATGTACAAAAATGTTCTCATTCCTAAACGTCTCATGTTCTCTATAAATGCTTGGCAAACCTCAGGATTGTGTCCTCAAAATAAATAAATGGAAAGATAGATAAATATCTGTCTGTTCACTGAAAATTTATTTGCTGAAACATGTTCTTCCAGCACACAGATACAGTTTCAAAGTTAGCATCTCAGTGTAATAAAGCCAAGTCCTTTCTTTTCATTAAAATTATTCATTTTAAATATTTTCATCAGAAAGAACGAAAATCCAAAGCTTAATGAAGTTCTTAAAACTTCACTATTGTAATAAAGATTTACCTTACTTCTATTTTTCTGTTACTCCTTTTATTAACCAAGCAATCATGTTTACCCACTTAACTGGATGTCACTCATTTAAGACACTATATCAGTAGGGCTTATTTTTATTAGAGATTTCTTTTAGTTGGGTTTCTAAAAATGTGATTAGGAGAAGGTACTGTTCTATTATAGTTTAACCTTATAAAATTTCATGACATGATATGACTCTGACTTAATGAAATTATTTCTTTAAAATTATATTATTACTTCCTCTAAATATTATTTAAACAAACTTACTCGTTTGAAGTCATTCATATTTGTTGCCTGGACTGGAGTACCAATAAAAGTAAAATATGAAATTCTTGTTGTTTCTTCTTCACCTTGATTGGACTGAACAAATATCTACCAAAAAACAAAAATTTTATAGTAATGATTATAATCCTATTTTTCATAAAAATCCTTTAAGTTTAAATGCTTAAACTTAAATGCTTTAAATTTAAACTTAAATGCTTTAAGTTTTTTGTTTCCTTAGATTACTAATACAAATACCTTCCATTCTTTGTAAGGGTTAATCCACATATCAGACTAGCACTCCTCTAGGACTAGAATTCCACTGTTTGCCCTGCTATTCTCATCTTCTCCAATGATGTCATGTAAGACACCCACATAGCCAAGCTCCTGATAATTTAGTGTGATGGTGTAGAGGGGCCATAATTAAATTATTTACAGAGAATGTTGAAAGAGTATGAAATTCTTGATTATAATGGGTAGGCTGCTGTTCAAATTTTATAAAAATTACAGTGTTTAAGGAAAATCTCTCCAGTTATATTCTTTCTGATATCCATTCATTCTACTGGACTGTTGGAAAAGTCATGACGTATTTTTTGTTTTTCATTGCAAAAATGCGTCATGACTTTTCCAACAACCCAATATTTCCTAGAACACTAAAAGAAAAAGTAGTATTGGGAACCAGCTCCTAAAACTATACTATGCCCTTCCTATTTTAAGCTTGGCTGTTTCTACTACTATTTAAAAACTCCCCTCAGCATGTTAGGAAACAGAAGCTTTACTCTTAGATCCTTATTCAGTATTCTGGATTTATTTTTTAATTCGCTCAACATTTTAAAACACAATACTCTAGATGCTGTCTACTTAAGAATAGTGCCTCTCTTGATTTGGATAACATACTTCTTTTATTTTCAGAGGGCATTCATCAGTCAGTTTTTGCTGTGTATGTAGGCAACTATAGATTCATCTCAAACTGAGTTGATCAACTAAAAACTCCAAGTCTATAACTAGTAGACTATTAAACCAGCTCTCCATTTATTTATTTGTAAAGCTCTTTGAATCTGAACACAACAGTTTATATTTAAACTTTAAATATATTTAAAATTAATCTCCTTACTTTGATTAGGCTTTCTGATCAGCCAGCATCGCTGGGTTGAATACTAAAATTCACAAAAGCAATTAATAACTGCAAAGCAGCAGCTGATTTGTTTTTACTGAGATCCTAACCACTACATTAAAAACTCTATATTCTAGAAAAGTACAATGAATTTTACAAAGGTATCATTCATTACCAGGTACGAATAATAAAGCACAAACATCTTCAGTTTAAGTAAAAATGTTCTAGAATAAACTTTTAACAAGTCATCAAGTAAATACATTATATATATTACACACACACACACACACACACACACACACACACACACACACACTGATAAATCCACAAGTTTTTAAAAACCAACCTGTCCTTCCCCTTTAGGGCACATAGATAAATTAAAAAGAAGATGATTTATTAGTTCATTATATATTTTTACTCATTTCAAACCAAGTGGGCAAATAACTACTTTAAGGGATCATATGGCATCACTGACGACAGCACGGATTGTCCCCACAAACCCATTAAACATATTACTTACAGTTACACTGTTAACGTTCTGAAACTTAACATAACGAAGTGGGACAATGCCATCTTCTTTAATATCATCCTCTGTTAGTTCCAGAGCTTGGGTTGGTTCACTTCTTTCTGCTTCTTCAAAATCCATAGATCGGGGTAGATTGATAAAAATTTTTACGTATTTAGGACCTTGACCTATGAAATGGTAGAATAAAATAAAAAGCTAACAATGAAATATGTAATATCTTATCCCCTTTATCAGTCCATCCACACTGTACAAACAGACACAAATGTACACATATGCACATACCTGCATGTATCTTTAGGAATTCTATGAAAGTCTGAGTATTTCCACAGCTGTTCTCCCCAACCCCACCTCCAAAGACATTTACTGGTATATTCTTGGCCTGCTAGCACCACACTCGAGGATTAGCTTAAAACACATACATACATATGCACACACATACACACGAAGTTCTTGGCCTCAACTACAAAAGACATACTATGATAAATTTAATACTATTAGGGAGAAGTATAGGGAAGGTAGCAATGGAGTTGGACAGTATATTTTCATAAAGAAATAACATTTGAGCTGGGTCTTACAGTGCCAACAATTGGTATATTTTGTAATTTTGAAGAAAAGCAATATCAGTGACACCATTTTGCCAAAAGGCAATTAATTATACAAACTGCCAAATTTCAGCTTAGAAATTAAGATGTACTCAGTGGTAAGATCACATTTATAGTGTCTTAATCCCTTAAACTTCAGGGTACAATCTAAGACCCATATTTTGTGGCTGATTAAAGAATCTTAAAATATTCACATCACTTAAAGACTCATTTCTACAGCATTTGCTTTTTATAAATACTTTGTATTTTCAGAATAAAGATACAGTTTTATTAATGAAAATTCATTAGTATATGAAAATTTAATTACCATTATATTGTAGCTTACTGAAGTGTGGATGATAGAAAACTAGGTAGACCACTTTTGCTGTAAGTATTTTAGTAAAAGCAACATTATCGTAACATTTTCCAAAATGTTGGTTTGGGCAAGAATGTAAGCATAATCTCATCTATAAATATCCATGTGTATACAGCCATATTAACTGTTACCTGTAGCTACTTTAATATTGTTTAACATAATATATATTTATATAATGTATATACTTTAATATATATACTCTATAATTTATATACTTCAAGATATGTAATATATATACTTTAATATAATTTATGTACTTCTGATTTGTATTATTTTTCTGTTAGAGTTATGGACCAGGTCGTTTGTAAACTATTCCTTTTTAATGAACTGATGAAATTTGGAATAAAAACTGACAACCACCAAAAAACAACAACAACAAAAAAAACAACATACAGAGGGTGCCAAAAAAAATGTATACACATTTTAAGAAAGGAAAAAACTATTAAAATTGTAATACTTAACGTATACCGAAAACAAAAGATAAATACAAGTGACATTTGACTTCTGCAATTACAAGAGGTGCTCAAAGTGGTTCCCATCAGCGTCTAGACACTTCTGATTACAGCAAACTACTGCTTGAGCAACGCTGACCAAAGTGTCCACTTGTATACATTTTTTTGGGACCCCCAGTACATGGATATTTAGAATAAGAAAGGAATGCTATCTGATAAATACAGTGCTGGCTATTTCTCCCAATCAATTAAAAAAAACAAACCATCTAGTCCCTACTCCCCCAACCCTCCCCCCACGCTAGCCAACCCCCACCCCCACACCCAGCCCTCAGCAACAGAAATCCAGAAACAGAAAAGTGGAGGTGGTGAATATGGAAAATTCTTTATTTAATAAAAAGGGAATGCTAAGTCTGTACAATCATGTTTACAGAATATGTATAAAGAAGATGAAACTATTAATAGGGCACAAATAGTATGATCTAGAGCAGGGGTCGGCAAACTTTTGAGACGGAAGAGCCAATATTGTCCCTCACAACAATTTAAAAATTATTTGAGAGCCATAAAACACCATGAAATCACCATTATGTGAATAATACCCTTTAAAAATTTTATAAATGAAACTATAATTTTATTTTCATTTTCAATTTTACTTCAGAGCCACATGTACGTAACCCAAAAAGCCGCCACTTGCCAACCCCTGACTTAGAGCCTTAGTTTTATCATCTGTAATAGGAGTTTGAAATAAATAACTCCCAGTTTTGATTCTAAAAAATGGCTGCTTTGAACCTAGAGTTTTAGAGTAATGGTTGGAAGAAAGGGTTCACATACTTTCAGATTAAGAGGGAACTTAAATTCTAAAATAAAAAACTTTACAAATAAATCTCACATTATTTGCCCATTCATTTATATCCTTACTTTTTCCAAAACCAATTTCACTCTGTCCCAAAACAAGGAGTATTTACCTCTATTTAATACAAAGTTTTAGATATGCGCTAACAGGTCCACAGAGCAGAAAGTTAGTTTACAGAAAAGCTGCCCATTACTCACCATTATCTGGCCCTTGAAATTTCATTGAATAAAGCTTAACTGGTTGATTGAATGCCACAGTAATGAGTAGCTGTGAGGAAAATAATAGTTTCATTTAAAAAGGGATCTTGAACACCTTGAATACACACAACTAAGTAGAATTAATTAATTCAAAAGCAGAAAAAAATTAATTCACCTAACAAAACCAATATAATATGTAACATCAGTAAGTTGAAAGTAACTTGATTAGACTGACATTTGAGAAACACAATCATCGATTATTCATTTAAGGAATGACAACAACAAATTTAACAAAATAAAATTAACTAAAACTATACATAAGAAACTAAGGTCTTATGACCCATAAACTGGCAAGCAATCTGCTTTCCAAAAAACCAAAATCCCCCAATTAAAACTTCAACTATACATTTTAGCATATAAGCTTAACATTTTCTAGGATGGTTTATTTGTCAAACATCTACTCATGTCACTTGACAATTTGGAGACAATGCACAGGTTGTGTGGAGAGTCTAGCCCTCCAATGGACTCTATATGATCCAAAACTCAAGAGAAAGGGATTCTTACAGCTATACAGTTTTGGGAATACTGTTCACATTATGTTTCTTGTAGCTATTGCTCTTGTAGCTCTTGCTCTAGGTTACCTCCAAATCTCCATCCTTAACTTATCTATCTGAATTTAGAAGGCCATAAGGAAATTGAGATTAAAACACTGGTAGTGCCTATCTCTCAGAAACTCTGATTTCATTTGCTTACTCTTCTTTCCAGGGGAAATTGTGCTTCTACCCTGGGAGGAAGACTGCAGAGAAGCTGTAGCCGATCCTGCTGATATGTACCATTAAAATATATTCAGAACAATAGCTACAAGAAACACAATGTGGGGGCCGGCCGAGTGGCGCGTTGGCTAAGAGCTGGCTTGGGACGCCAGAGGGCCCCGGCTCGGATCCCACATATGAGGGCCAGTGACACTGCCCTCTACAGCTAAGATGCTGAACAACAGTTCGACCTGGAGGTGGGCTGCCATGAGTCACCGGTGATGGCTGAGGCTGCAGCCCCTGCTGCAGTGGGTTGCGGTGGGCTACTGTGTGTAGCCAGCAGTCAGCGAGAGTGGCCATCCAGAAGCCGGTGACTGATGTGCCTCACCCAGGAAGAGCGCAATGATGGTGCCAACTTGGGCCAGTGAAGCAACGTCCTCCACAATTAGACTGAAGAACAAAAGGACAGCAACTTGTCTGTGCCCCTTCCCCCGATTCCCCAGCGCTGTTCACATCCCCCAGTTCCCCAATTAAAATCTTTAAAAATAAATAAATAAAAAGAAACACAATGTGAACAATATTCCCAAAGCTGTATAGTAAGGTAGCTCTGGCTGGAGCATGAAAAACTGGGGTGTACGTTTATGGTTTCAGGATCATTATGCTCTGTTTGCCTGAGAAAATACCCAGATTATTCACTTTGGTTATATAAGTACTTTTTATACTTGACCTGTAATAGTGTGTCAAAAAAACAGTAAGCATGACATTACAGACCTGAACCACAGGCAAAAGGGAAATGAGAGTGAAAAGCTAGAAACAGATCAAGTCAGCAAGAATCTGACACCCTCATCCAGAAGCCAGTGAAAATCGTTTAACTCTTTTAAGAACGAAACATAATCTGATTTGTTTTAGAAACATAACTTATGTAAACATTTAGAAGATGAACTGGAATGGGGACAAAGCAGAGTGAGTGGAACAGAAAGTAAATTAGGAAAATAACAGTTAAGATGAAACACGGCTTGACAAAGGCAGCACCACACTATTTGCTCTGTGACAAAGATGCTAGGAAGAACAATACCGGTTTCCGTCTGGGAGCGAGGACTGGACCACCAGGGAGTGCTCATCTAATTAGTCTGTTTCTCAGGGACAAACTCATTAGGGTGGGTACCAAGTATGAAAGGAAGGTCAAGAAGGAACAAAAGGACTTAAGAGTGGTGAAGATGCAACTCATGGGGCCGATTCAAGGGTCCTGCGAGGCCCCCCAGTGCACCTGGCAGCTTGCAGAGAACAGAGGAGGGGGGTGAGCACAGTCAAGGAAGAGGCGTCAAGGAAAACGCAAGTTATAAAAAGGAAAGGAAGAGTGGTCACCTGGGAAGGAAAGACATAAAACCGTGAGGTGGTAACAACAGCAGGCATAAATACTGAGAATCGCTACAAGCATTAACGTAAGCATCCATTACCTGCTCATCACAATCAGATTCCAAGAAGGTCATGTCTTTTCGCAAACAGTTGTCAAATCCATGCTCGTCGCTTTCATTAAGACATTCACAACCAGCTTTGTTAATAAAAGGCATTAAATCCATCTGAAAAAAATAAATCAAGACTCTAGGCAAAGCATTTGGATCTGGTATAAAAATCTTATTAAAAAATGCAAGTGTGTAATTCTTTAGATTAGGCAATTTTAAAGAAAATGTCTATCTCTTTTAAATAGTTACTAAAACTTTAATAATAATCCTTTCATTTGAATTCCTGACTGAGATATACTACTCATTATTAAAGCCAAATCTAGGCTTAGCCCACTTAATAAAGTATCGAAAACCGAGTGTATCACTAAGATTATAAAATAATAACTTATACTTTTTTAATAACGATATTTTACAGTGGGAAATATGCAAATTAAAATATCTGTAAGATCCAAAGAAAGTCTACCACCTTCTTCTAGTGGCCGTGGAATCTTTAAACCTATATTCATAAAGAATTTAGATTAAAGATGAACAGCAAATAAGGATTAAACATTTTTACTACAGAAATTTCTAACATACATAAACAGAAGAATATAGTGAACTCCATGTACCCACCTCCCAACTACAATACTCCTCAATTCATGGCTGCTCCTATTTCATCTCTACCCCACAACCAGCCCTAGCCATCCCCCTGATTATTTAAGTAAATCTTAAGACATTTTTTCATTTCATTCATAAACATTTCAGGGACTCGTTAAGATAGGGACTTATTTAAAAAATCCTCAATATCATTATCACAATTAAAACAAAGAATATCATCAACTATCAGTGTTCAAATTTCCTCAATTGTATTACAAATGTTTTATAGTTGAATTGTTAGACTCAGAATAAGGATCCAAACAAATTACAAAGACTGTATTTGGTTAATAAGTCTCTTAAATCTTTTAATCTATAGTCATTTAGCTTACTGATATCATTTATTCTGGATTTTGCTGATTGCTTCCCTGTGACTTCATTTAACTGTTATTCCTGTACATGTGTTGGCTAGTATTTCCATACTTCCAACATAAAGCCAAAGGGCTGCAGTGGTCGTGGTCATCATTGTCTTATTTCTTACATTAGTGGGAATGCCTCTAGTACTTCCTCATTAAGATTTTACTGAATGCTTTATAATAAATGGGTATTCAATTGTGTCAAATGCTTTTTCTGCATATTAGGAGATCATCATTTTTCTCCTCTGGATTGCTGGATTTTGTTTACTAATATTTTATTTAAGAGTCTTTATATCAATATTCCTAACTGGAACTCATCAGTAGCTTTCTTTTTTGGGCACAAATTTTGGTCCGATTCTGAGATCAATGTCATACGTATTTCAAAAAGAAAGCTGAAAGTGTTCTCTCTTTTCATATGGTCTTAAGCAGTTGTAGTAACACTAGGCTACCTGACCTTTAAGATTTGGTAGAATTCCCCTACAAAGTCATCTTGGCCTTTATAGAAGAGCTGTTTTACTATTTCTTCTATGGTGACTGGTCTATTTAAGTGTTTTGTTTTTAGCAGAGTTGATTTTGATAAACTGTATTTTTGTAGAAAAGTATCCATTTCATCTACGAAACAGAAAACTTTTAAAGTTTACCAGGTATTACAGATTATCAGTTGCATGTCCATCTTTCTATCACAAAGAATATTTTTTTTATCCACAGACACTAATGAATGTATATGGTTCTGAAAGACTACAGGAAATTTTTTTACATGTCAAACAAGTATAAATATGTAATCATCCATTAGAATAGACCCCAATTATTCATGTAGTAGCCTAAATATTTTCAAAGCAAAAATGTTATTTTGTATTACATTAAATGTTAAATATATTACTCAGAATAACATATTGTAGCCAACTCAAAAAAGTGGGGAGGGAAACAAGGAGCGCTATAGAGCAAAGTTCAACTATTGGAGAATTATGCTAAACTTCATGAATATTTGCCTTGAAAGGGTAGTTTTGACAACATCTTTTAAATGCTTAGTCTTCCAGTCTACAGAGGTGCATCTTCAATACTGTATCTTGGGTTAAGATCCCAGGCATGAAGACAACAATGCAGTCATACTTCCAATACCTTAATGAGGCAAATAAACTAAATAGGTGAATTATTTAAAAGAGTTTTTAGATTTATGTATGTGCATGGAGCACACAAAACAAGTATCACATTCAAACAGTTACATTCAAGTGCTTTGTGTATCTGGAACAAATTGGCATACGGCATATTTGACATAGCTGCAAACTGACATATTCTGACAATATGCAATGGGAAATAAATATCACTACCTTTGCAGCAACTTGCCAATAATGAGGAAAGAATAATGAAAAAACAATCAGACAAATCCAGATTGTGGGGCAGTCTGTAAAACAGATGGTCTAGACCTGTGCTGTATAATAAGATAGCCATTAGCCACATGTGGCAATTTAAAATTAAATTAATTAAAAGTAGATAAAATTAAAAATTCAGTTCCTCAGTTGCACTAGTCACATAACAAATGCTCAACAGCCACTTGAACCTAGTGGCTACTTTATCAGGCAGTCATGAAAGGAAAAAAAAGGCAAAGAAAAGTTTCTAAACTAAACAATACTAAAGAAAATTGAAAATTTAAATGCAATGCATGACTCTTGACTTGATCCTAGATAGGTAAAACCATAAAGTATATTTTGGAGCTAATTAAGGAAATGTGAATGTAGGCTGTTCATTAGAGATACTGTATAAATGTTAAATTTGTTAGGAGTGATAATGAATGGTATCATAGTTATGCAGAATGTTCTTGTTTTTAGCAGCTACATGCTGGAATATTTAGAGATGAACCGTCATGATGTCTATAACACACTTTTAAACGCTTTTGCAAAAGTTAAGGGTAGATATCAAGATAGGGCAAAAACAGCAAAATATTCACAACTGATGAACGTGCGTGAAGAGTATATATGGTTTAAGTACTACTCTGTCAACTGTTTTGTTGTTGTTGTTGTTGCTTTTTTAAATAAGTTTCACCTTTTATTTGTAGAGGGAAAAATCCTACACAAGACACAAAGAAGTTACAAAAACCTTTCCAAGCTTCAAGTTTTTGGTTAAAAAAAGATCTACTTGCTACATCAAATAGGGTCATTTAATGTCTGATTTGATTTTGATGAATGATAACAAATTTGTAGACCAAAATTTAGTCTGAGGTCAGAAGACCAGAATATACTAACAAGCCTCAAGATACAGAACATGTGCAAATGGAAGTTCAATTCTAAACTGCCCTGCATGCAAACTTCCGGAGAGGAAGACTTGATTTAGAGGGCATGAGGGGAGCTCTCTGAAGCTATACTATGTACTCTTAGCAAATATGAGAGAAAAAAAGATATAGTTTTAAATTTTCCCAACTTCAATAAGTACTTTCAAAAACTAGAAGTCATTATGTTCACAAAAACACTCTTACTTCTGAATAAGAATCTATCAAGATTCTTAACCTTTTGAGTATCACAGCTACACCTTTTGCAATATCCCAAACCTCCCTAAAGGAGATACATGTTTTCTTACTCTGGCTCCAGTCAAATCAGGAGTTTCAAAACTATAGCATGTTTAAAATCAATAACTGTATATAGCCTCTTAGTGGTAAAACTGATGACTGAAAATTGTTATTCCAAGAAACCCAAAATTTTATTTTAAAATTGTCAGTACATTTTTGTAATGCTTATGTTTAAACCTACTTATGACACAGGTTTTCATTCAGTGACTTATTCTCATTAAGTTTCTATTTGTATTGTGAGAGCGATGACATTTCTTGGAAACACATTACCAGTTTTAAATATTTAATATTCTGTTAAGATCTAAATAGTTCAAAACTTTTAATTTCTTGACACCTGATGGAAAAAAATGAAAATGTTTTAACAGCTTTCATTGTATTCATAACATTTGCATGAAAGCTTTTTTTTTTTTCTTAAAATTTATTTTTTCCTGCCATTTCCCTACCTGAGGCCAAAATGCTGGTATCACACTTAGCTGATGTGTAAAGAAATACTCCTGTAGCTAACTAAACAGCATGACTGTTCGCTCTTAAGATGTTTCCATGCAAACACGCTGAGTATAAAGAGAAAAAATACAAAGATGTAAACATAACAGTTTACAAGTCAAATGATTTCCGTAATTTTCCAAAAGGTGTCACAACCCTGACTTACACAACATGTTCATACTTTCTAACTGGATATTGTAATTTCAAATGATTATGTAACAGTTCTATTGTAAATAAATATTAATTATACTTCCATAACTAAAAATAACTAGCGCCAGTACCATATGTTAAAGATAGTCTTTGAAGACATACCTCCCCACCTCCCCCCACAAAGAATCTCTCATATTTACCTGACTAGACTGTCCTTATTCAGCACAAATTTGAGGGACTTACAGAAAGGACTGCAGCCCCACGAGACAGATCTGCTTTAATGTATTTGATATACATGCTTTCATATATCAGCTTTAATTTGAGGTAACATTTTTTTTAAATCATTGTTGGATCTGCCAATACGATAACTTTATAACAAGAAAAATTAAGAAATATTTACTTTGTTATAAAGGATCTGCCAAATTGGATAAACAAATCAGCTACCATAAAGTGCTACTTCTGAATTTTACTTCCTTCCTGAATAGCTCTCAAATATAAACATACTGCAATATAACTATTTAGATTAGATAGTTTTCTAAAACTTTTAAGTTCTTAAGTCTTCAAGTGATTATTTAGAATAACTTATTCTTGAAACTCTGGAAAACACATCCAACACTAAAGTCACAGTTGGTTCTAAAACAGAATCAATAACTAACACGTCTTTACTTTTCGGGGCAAAAATACATTAAAAAAAAATCTTAAAATGGCTACTAAAATAGCTCAGAAAGCAGATTTTTTTTTTTAAAGTGACAAAAATATTAGTAGGAGAAATTCAGGAAAATAGTTTAGGATGGGGGCTTAAGATTATAATACACACAGACAAAACCCAACAGTCAACCAGTGAATTTACTTTTAAAGTTCTTATTTGAAAGTACTCTGAACTAGTAAAAGATAAAACGTGAAAACAGTTAATTTCATTTTTTGGCAAATACAGTAAAACCTTGGATTGTGAGTAACTTGGTTTACGAGTGTTCCGCAAGACGTGCAAACATTTCTATTAGGTTGGCGCAAAAGTAACAGCAATAATGGCAAAAATCGCTATTACTTTTACACCAACCAAAGAATACATTTTAACTTGGTAAATGAGTGATGTCTTGCAATATGAGTAGTTTGTTTCCGGAACAAATTATGCTCGCAAACCAAGGTATTACTGTAATGGCAAATGGAAAATATAAGATAATTTCACTTTTAAGTCTACATACGTAGCCTTTTGGAATATCTGTGTCCTCATTGCTTCCAGGGTCATTTTCTAAGTGCTGCTTGATTTTTTCTTCTAATCCCACGGCATCTGCTCCTTGATACTGATCAATTCTCACTTTGTTTCGAAAAAACAAAAACGTAGGTGTTGCTGATATATTGTTGGTGGCAGCTGTTCCCTAGAATTGAAAGTTAGACAGCATTATGAATTAAAACTAATCTTAAACCACTTTGAATATTCTTTCTACATCTCCAAGAAAGATAAATATCACAAACATGGGCTAAAACATGTAAAATAATTTATTCCTAATTGTTATTTAAGAAAAAGCAGGTCTATTCCCTAAATAATGTTACCCATTGGGGCACAACTATATTACATTAGCTTTACATCCACAATGAAGGGCAGCCCTGTATTTTTGTGCTTTAGTGTTAAATACTTCATCCAACAGACAATTAGCTTCCAATAAAGAAATTGTGCTTTACAACACCAAGCCACTCTCTCATAAGTAATTCTGTTTCCTAAATCCACTCTTACAGGAATGACTTCTGACCTCCCCTCAAGCACACTGCAACAGCTATCTTTTAAAACTCTACTCGAATTCCACAATTTCGTAAGACTAACTGCCGAATGGAAATTAGCTGACAACCACTGATTCATGGTTTAAACTTTTCATGAAAAAATCTAAAGGAAATAGTAAAGCCAATGTGTCACCTTACATATCCAAATACTATGAAGAGGTACCACAATATTGTTTTTAAAAAAAGCATAAAGTTTACATAAAGACGTCTTCTCTAAGCCTCATAAAAAAAAAGATAGACCCGTTAGAATAGTGCTGTCCAAAAGAAATATAATGCAAGACACAAATGTGAGCTATATATGCAATTTTAAATTTCTTAGTATCCCCGATAAAAAAGTAAAGAGAAGCTATGGCTACCACGTAGGGCAGCCCAGCTCCAGAAGACAGCACTTCCATTTAAGTGAATACTTAAGTAGGAGCCAGCATTGTCATCCAGTAGTATGTGCCGTAAGTGCTGACTAAACATGGAATACAGAGTTTACATCAACCAAATCCCCAACTACTATCGACAAATTACATAACATTCTAATATTTTTTTCACTGAAGACTATATTTTTAATGTTGGAAGGAGCCTTCCAAAAAGGTTTTTTCCAATATAACTCCCTCAGTATTTCTACACATGAAAATGCAGAACTGTAAGTAATAGCCACTCCAACTAAGTAATCAGGACAATCTACCTACAAAACTGGGGTGCAATCAAAAGTAATCAATATTTTAAAGTTTCTGCGGAGTATGCAGCTTTGGAGCAAAGGTTACACACTGATGAATTCAGATCCAACTCTAACAAAGAATTCTCTGCCACGGCTTTCTAATCAGCCAATGCCATTGTAGTAAAAGATAAAATTCTAGATTTGCAAAAAAAGAAACAAAGATATGTAAAACACAACCGCCAGGTGACCTACTAGTTTAACAACATGTTAGTTTTATAGCAGAAGTCTATTACTATAAACAAACCCAAAAGTAATTAATAATTGGACTATCCTTCTTACTAATGCAGCTATAATGGCATTTGTAATAATCATGTCAATATAACATTTTCCTATCTTCAAAAGAATACTGTTTGCATAAAGAGATAAATAAATAAAAGATGACAATGTCAAAATACAAACTGACTTATAAATTTTTTTTTTAAAAAGGACTCCTTTCCCTTACCTGACACTGATGTACGTCTACTTCCAAGAAAACTGCCTGCGGATACTTATTACTCATAGTGCTGAATGCTGGGGCAATCCTTAAACATGGTCCGCACCTGTGAGAAAGGTAAAAGAGATGACTGGCAAAATAACACCAAAGATTGTATTAATTTATACTCTAAAGAACTTTGTTGATTAAAATATAAAATAAAATAAACAAGCTCTGACCATGCTGGCTTTAGGCTTTCTAATCTTTTCCACTGGGCTATACTGAGATATACTTGCATCAACACCACATTGTCTTAGTGACTACAGATCTGTATTATATACAGATCTTGAAAACTAATACTGTTGAGTCTTTCAGCTTTATTCACTGAGAGAAATTAAAGAAGGTCTAAATATTGGAGGAATATACTATTCTTATGAATTGGAAAATGCAACACTGTCAAGATGTCAATTCTCTTCAATTTGGTCTTTAGAGTCAATGTAAAATCCCAGGTGGTTTTCTTGGAGAAATTAACAAATTTAAATTCTGAAACTTATAGGGAAATACCAAGGATAGCCCAAGCCATTTTGAGGTTCAAAGCTGAGGAAGTTACATTACCAGATATTCAGAAATATCATAAAGCTTTATAAATTAAGAGTGTACAATGATAAACAAAATGACCAACGTAAGAAGAATAGAGAAACAGACCCAGACCCATGCCATACACAGTAACTAAACGGATTTATGAAACAGTTGACACAGCAGTGCAGTGGGGAAAGGATGGCCTTTTTAATCAACAGTGCTGAGTCAACTAGACAGCCACAGGGAGGGAAAAGGAGTCTGGACCCCTACCTCACACCATTCACAAAAACCAATTCCAGATGGATTATAGATCTAAATGTGAAAGGTAAAACATTGAGAGTTTTAGGAAAAAAGAGAGGATACTTTTAAAACCCTGTAGTAAGCAAAGATTTCTTTCTTTCTTTTTTTAATATGCAGGCAGTGTTTATTAGCAATACATTCTCAGGGAAGAGAACTGGCCTAGCAAGGTGGGGGAGGGAGGG